CACGAACAAGGACCGTTTTTTATGTGAGAAGATTACCGTGGTACGCTAACCCAAATGAACTGGAAAACCATTGAGAAGGCAGACTCAAGTAGCCCCAGAAAAAAATAAAAGTCAAAAAAGCTGCATTCTCGAACCTTCTACGGAATTATTCGATTGAACTGATGCAGTATTCGCAGTTGCATGGAATTACACAGATACTCACCTGGATATGGTACCTGTCCCTTTGTCATTATTTCGTACAACAATATGCCGTATGACCAGACATCACTTTTCACTGTGAAGTTACCACAGGTAGCCGCTTCAGGTGCCGTCCATTTAATCGGGAATTTCGCTCCAGTCCGAGCTTCGTAGATGTCTTCTTCCATCAATTTACGCGCTAGACCAAAATCGGCTACCTATAATATAGCAAAGATAATCTCGACCACGAAATGAACAAATGATTAATATCACTTGATTGACTGTTATCAGAATCTCAAGCGCAGTGAGGAGGGATAACCTCCAAGCGTGGAAAACTAAAAACGGGCGCAATGTGCCTCGGGGGGGGGGGGGGGGCCAGTCGCCGCGCGCGCTCTTGCGGCAACAGGAAATTCGTGAGCCAGGGGAGTGTAGCCAATTCAGGGGGGTTGGGGGTGAGGGCAGTCACATGACGGTGAGGGCAGTCACATGACATGCGTGAGAAGCTGGAATGTTCGAATTTCCTGTTGCCGCACAGCCGCGCGCGGTGACTGCCCCCCCCCCCGAGGCACAACCCGCTAAAAACTCGCGCATTGCAGTCAATATCGACGGTACTACAAGTTCAGCGGTGGGTGTGAAACTGCCGTTGCTTGAACAATAAAAGAAACACTTTGAAGGTGAAGAAAAATAAAAAGAGGTATTTAGTGAAAAAAGTAGCATTATGAAGATCCATTTCTTCCGATGAAATGAGGAAGATTTTGTTAATTACGAGGAAAAGGAAATCGAATTCACTTTATGATACAACTTCGCTGAATTATTTCCACTGCTATGCTCGGCACGTCGGCACCAAATCCTCTATGCTTTCATCCCCCATTCTCTCTATCTTCTGATATTCGATTCTGTTTCATTGCATTGCCATTTCCTTTGCAGTTTCTATATCAAGTTTGATATAAAATAAGGCGACAGACTAGAATCCGTTTGCTCTGCTGCACGCAATGTTATGCATCGCACTTTTCATTCTTACAATTCCATTCGAATGTCGACGGAGCTGTGCGACAGATACACATGAATCACTATCCAGCAATGAACAATCAGAAAAAATGCAACATTCAGCAACATACAAAAAGGAAACAACACGGTGATCACAATTATGGTAATAAGGGCACGCCGTATGCAATTCAAAATGTTAACATAAGATTTGGACTGCAAATTTGTAGTTTTTTTTTCATTAGATCGACGCTTATTCCATAATTTAGCATGTAAAGGCGATGAGAAACAGCCACTCCTTTACCTCATCACCGAATGAACACTCGTGTGCAGCGTCAACCCTTGCGATGGAGTTATATGGCATGATATTATATGACTCGAAGTATCCAGGATGTTTTTCTACCACCACTACAATTCTTATCAAGCTATAACTAGGACGATCGGTCTGTGTGAAAGGGATGCCTTTTGTTTATCAGGAGCAATGCTGGCAAGTTACACGCGAAAGTTCGCTGGAGCCCAATTTGTTGAGTTCATCGTTTGGCGAGTAAAATGGGAAAAAATGCGGCCAACTGAGACGATCTTTGGTTTGCAGTTCAATTCTAAGGCGTATAAGCATGGAAATAAAAAAGAGCGGTGCAAGTACCCTCGCCTTCAAATGACCAGAAATTGTGCAATTGCAGAAATTGACGTGGCATTAACGTGGCATCGATTCAAGAACATCTTTGAGCACACGTGATGTCACCTTTTCATCGAGAATTTAGCCACGTGTGCCAATGCCACGTCAATTTCTGCAATTGCACAATTTCTGGTCATTTGAAGGCGAGGGTAGATGCTGTATTGATTTCGAAACAGGCGCTATTTCTCGATCGGTTTTACTACTGAGAAAATTTAGGCTGGTGCCAGAGTCCGCGATCCGTCGCAGGTTTCGCTGATTTTCGCGATTTGCGCGATTCACGCGACGGGTCACGGAAATCACAAGTGCCCGATCAATACTGCAAGGTGTTCTCCAATCCCGCCGCCACTTCTGCTTGATAGTGATGGCTGATGACGACTGCTCTTGTGTTGTTCAAATGTT